AAGACAGCGCAGGACAAACAGCACGTAGAGGTTAGAGATGAAGCCCAGGATGAAGAAGATGATGTAGAAAACCGGGATGAGCACATAACGAAACTGAGAGTCCAGGAACGGATTAATGGTTGTGGACACCATACTACTCATTGTTGTCATAGTAACTGATTGAGTCATCTTTGTCTGTGGGAGACAAAATATATTATCATCAGTACAATGTCCTGTGACAGAGTTTTACTCCGTTTTGATGCAGATGACAAAGTTAGTGTACAATGGATTGAAAAGAAAGAAAGGGAAAGAATATATGTATGAATGACTAAATGTATATTTTTGAATGTTACTCTGACTGTATTATACAGGTCAGGGTGTACGGTTCATTGACGATCCAGTCCAAAGATGGCGAGCTACCCGTCCAGGAGTCCTTGATATGATTGTTCTGAGAAGAAAGTTAAATTCTTTGGACGAGCCTTGAACTGTTCAAATTCTACTTAAGTGGTAGAACAGAATTGAACCTCATTGCTCCTTTGCACATCCTGCAAAGAGAACCCTTATTGGACTCACACTTAAGGGTGTGGGCTGACACGAGAGAGACTGAGTCAAATTCCCACAGGGCGTGTTTTGTTTATTATTTTTCATGATTTGAGCCCCATTTTTCTTTCATGTAAGTAAAAGTAAAGTAAAATTTTATTTATATAGCACCTTTTAAGATAAAAATCACAAAGTGCTTCACAGAAGCTGAAACAAAGATAAAAATCAACCAAAAGCAAGTTTAAAAAGATCAGTTTTTAGCTGTTTTTTTAAAAATGACCACTGAGTCCACAGATCTCAGGCTCAAAGGGAGAGAGTTCCACAGTCTAGGGGCCACAGTTACAAAGCTCTGTCACCTTTTGTTTTCAGCCTCGTGTGTTGGACAACTAGCAAGCCCTGATCAGATGACCTCAGGGACCTGCTGGGAATGTATGGATGTAAAAATTCACTGATATATGTTGTTGCTTGTCCTTGTAAAAACCAGTGGTATAATAGTGCTTAACATACAAAAGTGTCAGAAGTAAGTTATAGAGAAAGATGAAAGCCATGGCAAAGTACCAAACATGCTAGCAGGTTAATGGCATTAAAAACACAGAAACAAAAGAAATACATATAAAAGCATAATAGAACAATATGTGTAAAAGATAAAGGAGTCAAGAAAAATTTTAAAATAGTTAAGAATAGAACGATAATTGCACCAAGCATTAAACTAACTTAACAAACAAGCATTGACTGGTAGAGAAGGCGAGGCTGAATGAACAGGTTTTTAACTGCGATTTGAAGGATTGAATGGAATCAGACTCACGGATAGCAATGGGGAGGTTATTCCACAGATCGGGTGCAGCCAAGGCAAACACGCGGTCACCTCTAGTCTTCAGCCGGGATCACGGCTGTACCAAAAGTGACTGGGAAGATGATCTTAGTACTCTAGCAGGGGTGTATAATCTAAGTAGTTCAATGAGGTAACTTGGCGCTTAATTGTTAATAGTTCTAAAGGTGAGCAGCAGGATTTTGAATTGAATACGGTAGCCATCCAACCTCCAATGGAGTCTATGCATCTATGCAAAATCTGTAGCTTGGAAACATCTTGAGGCTTAAAGGAGATATATAACTGAATATCATCTGCATAGCAGTGATAAGAAATGCCCTTAGTGCTCAATAAGTGCTGGAGAGGTAAATACAACTTCCGCTCTACAATGCTATTTTTTCATTGTATATATATGTGATTATTCATTTGTGAATACAAGTTTATCAAACCAAGTTGTCTGAGCGTGTCATTAGTCATCCACTTTGCTCTGGCAGTCGAACCTTAGCTATTGGCCCAGCACACAGGTAAACATTCAAGTCTCTATTCCAAGGATTGAAAGGGGTGTTACAAAGGTCTTAGTAAAACCAAGCAATACAATAAAGTAATTACAAATCACAATTTGCAACTGTGTTTCGCAGATCTGTAGTTCTATTGTGTTAACAGAAACTGTCTTCAAACAAACATTTCAATATTTTGTATAAAAGGCATATAAGCCTTCCTATTACCTATTTTCTAATCTAATTCTCAGAGGAAAATGCTTCTGATAAGAGGACACGTGAGTCTGCATCTTACTGTAGCACTATACAACATAAGGGTATTAAAAAGAAGTCACAGTCAGTTGCAGACCAAAAGAGACTGACTGGGGTGGCCTTTGTGACTGTAAAGGTTGCCACTGAAGACAAAATGGTTACGTAAGAGACGTTATTGAAACTAAAGTTGGTTAAGTACTGATAGTGATCTTTAGCATATGACCTGAATTCATCAAAAAGATTGAACTACAAAAGTATGCAAGTGGTTTAACCAGCATGTGGTTCTTAGACTATAACCTGCTATAAACAACCTGCTACCGAATGTTGGTGCAAATGGACTTTTTTGAACGAGCAATGACCAAACAGCCTGCTGCAGTTTGCAAGAGGTTTGCAACATGTTTCCAGTTTTGAGCATGCAATGAATGGTTTTAATTAGATCAGCAGCTACACCACAAACAGTCCTAAGAAACCAAGTTAGAGATTTTACAATTTTGATTTCAACTACTGATAATATCAAATGTAATCGCTTTATTACAGGTTAGTCAAAATGTACTAATCCTGTTAATGATGCATGTTATGCTATAATTAATAATAATAATTTGGAGTTAAAATTATAACATTATGAGAAAGACATTACCTTCCCCAAAATATTAATCTTATACAAATATCATACTAAGAAATTGATAAAGGAAGCGCTTAAACCATAAATTGTCAACATTTCACTCACCACATCACATTTCACTCTACTAACCTACTGAGTAACATGTTTTGTTACTTGCTTTGGTAATTTTATTTAGTGTTGTTAATTTGAAATAAAGGATTTGTTGATTTTATTTATTTATTTTAAAAATATTTTTGAAGGGGGAGGTGGGTCATTGTCTAATGTCAGTCCTGACACTAAGTAATTATTTTAATTATTATTAGTGAGTGTAAGACACTGCAGCCACTACATACAGCTTCACACTTTACATTAGACTCTTATCTGCATCTCTTAATAACCTCTATTTGTCATATAAAAAAAAACAAATGACAGCGTTACTGTACACCGTACACTTACCCGACTGCTCCTTCTGTTGTTTAATCGTCTTCTGTATGTAATAACACTTTGAATGAATTCACAGCTTCAGTTCAGCAGCAGCACGACTTCTCTGACAGAGAGGACATTTATGTGTCTGACTGTGTGAGTGGGAGTGCTCTTTCAGGTCTAGACAGAGGAGGTGTCGCTTCAGTCTTCATAGGAAAAACCTGAAAGGTTCAAGACACGGAAGATTCGCCTACACAATTTCATGCACCTGAGAATAACATGAAGAGAAACGTCTACTTTGCTGCAACATTTTACTAACTTTTTAGCGATTCATCGAATTGTTTTCAAAACACCACCGTGACAAATGATGTTACCAAGTAAAGAAATTAGCTGCTTACCCAGGAAAACTAGTCCTGAAAAGGAGACAGACTGGGACATGCTGATATGAGACATAAAATTGGGGAGTTATAATTGTTAGTCTGTGTATGAAAAGTCACTGCCACTATTCACAGATTTAAGTTGAATTTAATTTTCTAAAAATGCAGCAAAATGTGCTACCGATGATTTTAATCACCCTAAAATAAAACGGAAACCAGAGTAGGTGCAGGCCATGTGTCGCTGTGCCATCCTTTCTGCATCATATACATAAGCATAAACCTACAGAAGGAGTGCAACAGTTACTTGGTTTTCTTATTGCAGTGGTGATGTCTATTGCAATGGCAAGAATTGGGCAATCTCCCTAGGCTTTCAGTGGAATTAATGCTTGTGGGCTCCGCACTACTCATTGTTGTCATAGTAACTGATTGTGTCATCTTTGTCTGTGGGAAACAAAATACATTATCATCAATACAGTGTCCTGTGACAGATGAGCAGAGTTTTGATGCAGATGACAAAGGTAGCGTATAATGGAGGGAAAAGCCTTTGAGAATAACTTTTTGTTGTCCTTCCATTGAAGTTAGGTAAGATAAATAAAAGTAATAAATAAAACAACAGTAAATGACTACAATAGGTTTAATAAAATCGTTCCTATTCCAAGGACCAAGTTGTCTATCAGTTTTTGTTTGTACGACTGTCTTTACCAGCCAAATATTGTGTCACTTTTAACACCTTTTGAGCCATTTAATTAATTTCAGATGTATTAATGTAAACACCGATTATGCATAACATTATGCCACCTGCCTAATGTTGTGTTCCTCCCCCTTTTGCTTTTAAAACAGCCCTGAACCATCCAGGCATGGAGTCCACTAGACTTCTGGAGGTGTGTATCTGGCACCAGGACAGTAACAGATCTTTGAAGTCCTGTAAGTTGTAAGGTGGGGCCTCCATGGATCTGACTTCTTTGTCCTGGAGAATTGGATTTTGTTGTTTCAGTTTAGTTTTAGTTCTTAGTATGTTCATAAAACCTTTATTTGTCACACAAAGGTTACCCTCCGGTGAAATACCGGTAGTATTATGGAAAAACACAGAAAGTACAGTACAATGGGCAAGTGGAGGAGGAAAAAAAGAGACCTCTATTCCTGCTGGACTCTGAGGAGAGCGCAGAAATTATCACATTACAACACCATGAAGCACATGACAAGCAACAGGGGTGGGTAAGGGGCGAGAAGTAGGCCTATGTAGACACAGCTATCCGCATCTGCTGCCATCGGAGGGCGCTGAGCTGGACCCGCCGTCTAAACATCGGCCTTGGAAGATAGCAGACCAGGTGTTGGAGATGGGAGATAAACACAGTCCTGTTATCAGGGAGAGAATTTGTTGTTGTTCAGCTCCAGCCTTGCAGCTTGCGGCGATGTGGTAGCCGCATTAGTTGATGGTGGTGTTTTCCTTTAGTGCAAACAACTGCGTGTCAGTTTAACAGATGATCTAAAATGTCCGTCACTGATCTTTTGATCTCGTTGTATTTTTGTAGTATTTTTTAGTGTTTTTCTGTATAAAAGGCGCACTAGGACTCTGGTGTCTGCCATAGCCTTCCTATTACCAATTTTCTAATCTAATTCTCAGAAGCAAATACAAAAAAGAAGTCACAGTCAGTCACAGACCA